TGCATCCTTGCCAACATTTGTCTTTTCCTGACTTGTTAATTTTAGCCATTCTGACTAGTGTGAGGTGGTATCTCACTGAGGTTTTGATTTGCATTTCCCTGATGCCAAGTGACGTTGAGCACTTTTTCATGTGTCTGTTGGCCATTTGGAAGACAGAGGATCATATGGGAAGGGAGGGAAAAATGAAACAAGATGAAACCAGAGAGGAAGACAAACCATAAGAGACTCTTAATCTCAGGAAACAAATTGAGAGTTGCTGGAGTGGAGGGGGCGTGGGAGGGATGGGGTGGCTGGGTGATGGACACTGGGGAGGGTATGTGCTATGGTGAGCGTTGTGAATTGTGTAAGATTGATGAATCACAGACCTGTACCCCTGAAACAAATAATACATTATATGTTAATAAAACAAATAAAATAAAATAAAATAATAAAAGATATATAGAAAAGAAAGAAAAAGAAATACATTAAGTTTGGAAATATGTTGGGGGGTGCTAGGGAAAAAAAAAAAAAGAACAAGCCCTTCCTCCTGCAAGTGCTGGGGCCTGCAGGGTTTATAAGGAAGGCTCTGACTCTAGCTGAAAGTGTGGCCAAGGTTATCCTGATGGCATGGGGGAGGGGTCGGAGAAGGAAAGAATGGAGGACCCAACAGATCAGGAGCCCAGTCCCGGGGTCGGGGATATGAGCCTGAGCACAGGCAATGGTGCAACAATGACAGGAAGGGGCAGACTACCCACCAGCGGTGCCCAGGAGCTTAAACTCTGGAGCTTTTCAGCGGAAGAGGAAGGTGGGTGGGCCACCCCTAAGGCACAGAGAGAGCACGAGGACGGGGAAGTCTGGATTTCCAAACTCTTGAACTTGGGTGCCGCCGAGGGGCTTCCTACAGGGGCAAGGAAATGTGGGACAGTCAAAGGGAACAGTGCAAGACTTGGAAGGTAGATTCGGGAGCGGGCTAAGGAGAGACTGACATTCAAAATGGAAGGAACACTTGCACCAAGGACGTGGGATGTGGGGGCAGGAACGGAGGCCAGGGCAGGGCCCGAGGGGACAGGAGCAGCCGTGAGCACAGGGAAATGCTGAGCTAGCAGAGAGAGGTCTGTGGGCCAAGGGCTGGGCGCCCCTGGAAGAGAGTGGTGGGCGGCAGGTGCAGGGAGGGACCTGGAAGCAGTGGATGGAAGCTTTTTTTGCGGCCCTAAAAGGACTGAGGCTGGAGAAGTTGGAGCCTGGGATCCACAGGCTGGGTCCCTGAAGCCTGAGGGCTCACCAGGCCTCTTCACCCCCCTGTGCCCCGGGGTATTGATGACCTCACCCCAACTCCTTCTCTCACAATTTCTCACAACCCACAGAGAACCAAACAGCAAATCCTGTTCTGCCACCCCAGATGCCCCCAATCCGGCCATCCTCAGGCCCTCCACTGTCACCCGCCACCACCTCGTTGGCCCTGCTGCTCTCCTGGGGCGGCCCTCCGGTCTCCACTCCATGCCCAGGCTGGACCTTTGCACGTGTAAGTGACACCATGTCACTCTGGCCCAAAGCCATCTGATGCTCCCCAGACACCTTAACATCTAACGTGCCTGCTGAGCTTTAAGGCCGCAGCTCTGATGTCCTCCCTGCCACCCCCCCCCCGCCCCACTCTCTAGCCAACTGTTCCCTGAAACCCTCCCTGCCACTGGGGTCTCAGGCCTCTCTCTGTGTCCCTCCGCCTGGAGCCATCTGCCCCAGAGATGCACCTGCCCCACTTGCCCCATTCAGTGTCTGCTCACATGTCACCTCCCCTGCCTTCCCTGACCACCCACCTAAAGTGAACCCCCCACATCTCCCTCTTTCTCTGCCCTTATCCTGCTTTTTCTCCATAGCAGTGATAACTTCCCATTATATTTTTTTTCTATTTTTCTGATGTAATTTATACACAGTGAGACCCACTCCTTTTAATGTACAGTTCTCTGAGTGTTGACAAACATAGGCAGGCCTATGGTCGCAATCAAGATACAGAAGAGTTCCATCACACCCCAAAATTCGCTCACGCCCCCTTGGAGTTAACCCCTCCCCACCTCTTCCCTAGCACCCACCGATCTGTTTTCTGTCCTCATAGATTTGCCTTTTCCAGACCATCACATAAATGGAATCATCTAGCATGTGGCTTCTTTCACTTAGCATAATGTGTGTGGGATCCATTCATGGTGTTGAATATCATAGTTCAATCCTTTTGACTGATGCCTAACATTCTATTGTGTGGATAGACCATGGTTTGTTTATCCATTCCTGCTTGAGACCATTTGGATTGTTTTTAGTTTGGGGTGAATGTGACTGATTACAGCTGCTATAATCACTTGTGATCAAGTTTTTGTGTACAAGTAAGTTCTCATTTAGAGGGTAAAAACTAGGAGCGGGGTGGTTGAGTCATATGATATGTGTATGTTCAACTTTGTAAGAATCTGGCAAGCCCTTTTCCAGAGAGGTCGTTCCATTTTACATTCCTACCAACAATGCACAAGGGACGTGGTGGTCTATGAGACGGAATATGCAAACAGCGGCCAGACGGAGATGACAAAGAGCTCCCACCCACCACCTCTGCCCCAAATGGTCCGGACCTGGTCAGTGGGAGTACAGTTCCCTCTAATTTCTGCCCCCCTTCTAACTCAGGACCCCCTAAGAAAGCCAAATATGCTCTGCTACCAATCCCAAGGGATGCCCCACTTCCGGTTAGGTGTCCCCAGCTTCTCCGGGCCAGTAGCCTCCAGGCAGGGCCCACGGGAAGCCTTCTGCCTCGTCCACTATAAAGCTGTCCCCCTCTGCCTGCCTTTGAGTCTCTGCCAAACCAGTGACATGGCTGACTCCTTGCTGCTACAAGCTCTGAATCAACAGCCTCCATTGGTGGTCTTCATGTTCGTTTCCAGGTTTGTATATTCACTGTGTTCTTCCAACAGAATAGGGTCTCTACGCCCCTCGGGAGCCCCCATACCTGCGATGATGCTAATAGATGCTCCAGAAATGTTTATCGGCCAACTACAGGAAACTGCAGCCCTCAGTGTGAGCCCTTGGCCCATTTCCTTCTAGTCAGGCAAAATCTACAGCCCAGGCAGTTGCCGGGCGGTGGGGCCTGGGGATCTGGCATGTCCCCTGGCCTCTGCTGGGGGAGGAGGACCAACCCGTCCTCCTCTCCCCACCCACCCGCCTCCTGGTTCCCTGCTCCCCTGCCCCATGTGAGCAACTTCCCTCTCCTACGGGGAGAGGGTCAGGGGATTGGGGCCAGCTCAGGGGGCTGCAGGGTGAAAGCTTTGCGGTTCTTCTCAAGATCTTGTTTGTTGTGGAAGAACATGGAGCACAGGAAAAAAAAAGCCAACAGGAGTAGACTCTTTCAGAAGCAGCCAGAATCTTCTCTACTTTTAGAAACTGCCTCATAAGTAGGGAGACCTGTTAGACTAAATATCATGCTGTCCCAAATGGTGCCAATTTTGGAAGCTCCTCAGGCTATGCCTTCTCCCAGGGAAAAGGGATTTAGAAACCTTTGGTCTGAGGTGGCTCTGAGTGCATGTCAGCTCAAGGGCTTTCAAAAGGCCCTTCTGAAAGTCAAGCTTCAGAGATTGGACCTGTAATAGCAAAAAAGCCGATGCCTTAGACCTGGATGAAGTGGGGGTTCAGCTGTGGTCTCCCCAGAGCTTGAGCCCAGGAATCCTGATGGGGGACCCCCGGGCCCTAGAGGTGCCCACTCTAAATCAAACAGTAAAAACAAACAACAGAATACAACTTTCAACATCTGCGTCTCCCTTTGTGAGGGGGCTTTATTTTGTCACTGCGATGTCAGATTTATTTTCTTAAAAAAATGTCTGATTGGGGCTTCATCAGCAGTTGTTAAGAATACCTCCTTTTCACCCCAGACTGAATATTTAATGATCTGCAAACAAAGATTTGAAGATGCAACTTAACAGGGCTCTGATCCTTTTGTAATATGATCCATTTAACCCTCTCTGTTCAAAACCCAGCGAATGAGTTAAGCAGGTGCCATAGGGAAAGAGCGAGAGTCCACCCCCACCCTGAGGTTTGTCCCATGAGATAGCTCGAAGAGATCTGAGTGGCAAGCAGACGCAGGATGTCTATGGAATAGGCTTTGGATTTGGGCTCTCCCATGCCCAGCAGTGGGTGATGCAGCAAATCTTCACATTTCCCCCATCACAACCATAGGGCGACTCACAGTTTGGGCTCCATTGGGCAGCACTGGACGGTTATTACAGACACACAAAAACAGGTTGAAATTGCAAAAGAATTGGACAGAATCACAATGTCTGAAGCAACTACACCTGTTGCCTAAGACTTCTGGTTGTGTTTTGGTGGAAAGAGTTTTTTATACGGCTTGTTTCCTTCCTATTTGGTTAATTTACTATTTCATTAACTTTGTTATCTGGCAACTCTATATGTAGGATATACTCCATCCAAGTTTATTTCCGGAGGAGAAATAAAGACAGTTAAGTTATTGACAATGAATGAATGAATGAATGAACGAATGAATGAATTGACAGACACTGAGTTCCTGGCATGCGCCGTGTTAGGCTAGGGGCCCGCATTTTCTCTTTTTATCTGCCCAGCAAAGACTTCCTGTGAAGCATCTTCACAGACCGGGAAACGGGCTCACTCAGGATCACCAAGGGGCCAGGATGGAGTCCGACCCCAGCTGAGAGGGCACCCGGGGCCAGTGAGCTCCTGGACATGGTAGGACTAGAGAGCTCATCATGACAGGCAGTGCGGGCTGTTCTCCCCTCGTCCGGCCCTCGGGGGAAGGAGCTCTTGCTCAGCTGGCCACCTGCCGAGCCACAGACAAAGCCCTGCAGACCTGAGGGGAGAGGCGCTTGCCGAGGAAGGGATCCTGTACCATCTTTCCCTCCATCTGAGGTTTTCCCCTGGAGCTTCGCGGATGATATTCTGAGCCCTGACATCTTCCATCTCTTGCATCGGTAATGACCAGCCTCCCAGTCCTCTGCTGTTTCTGCACCGCGTTTCCCTGACCCAGCACTTTTTCCTCGGTGCATTATTTACCCCTGGATTTTCAAATTCCCCGTGGATGACAATCAGACAGCGAGCTCCCCACACTTGGCAAGTTTTTTGAGTTTTAATAAAAAATCATGTTTATTCCTGTAAAGACTTTTTTTTTTCTTTCCCCACGAATTCTCCTAACAAATGCAGTTTTTACTCGACTCAGTCTTTTTCTTGAGTTGGGTTTCTTAAAGCTGACTCTGTCCCCAGGTTCTTTCGGCTCTCATGAGCCTGGAGGCTGCTCTGTGGCTCTGGTTTTGACAGTCCCTGAGCTGGCGGAAGACTTGCATTAACCCCCTTCTGGTTTTCAGTCTTCGTGTGTCCAGAGGGATTTAAAACATCTGCGGTAAATGGGAAGAGAAAGAAGAAATGGTCCCCCTGCCTGCATGATCGCTGCCCGGGGCCCAGGCATTCTCATTTCAAGGCATTTGAACCTCAGGTGTGGTTTATACGACAAAGCCAGGGCACCCTGTGTTGCATTCAGCAGCTGTGGACACCCAGGCCAGCTGCAGTGTCTAGAGCCCCCAGTTCTGTCCCAGGGCTCCCTGGGCAAGGGGCCACCCCCACAGCTGCTACCACATGCAGGGAAGATGAAGTTCAAAGAGAAGCCGTGGCCCCTGCCACCAGCCCTTCCCCTGCCCAAGCCACGGTGAATAGCTGGAGGCGGTGTCTTCCTTCTCTCCCTTGCTGTCAGGGAGGTGGCGGGGGGGAAGGGACAATTAAGAGGCAGCAAGCAGGGGCAAGGATCCTGGAATGCCCACCGGTGGCTGAAGATTCACCAGGTCCGGGGACTGTGACGCAGGCGGGAGCTGTGGAGGCCACTTCCAGAACAGCCCATAATCCCGTTGTCATAATAGTGAGCTGGAGTAAGAAATAAGCATCAGAAACCCTGGAATGGGAGGTACTGGGTCAGACTGGGTTAGGAGCCCAGGCATTGCTGGAGTCATCCCCCAGCTGAAATTCCAGTTCCGCTCGCACTAACCTGTGACCATAGGGATGTTTCTTAACCTCTCTGAGCCTCAGTTTCACCCTTTGTACAAAGGAGACAGTGCCTACTGCTCGGGTCTGTCCCAAGGAACATATGAAATAATGCATATTGCTGGTTAGCGCGGAGACTGGTAAATGGCAGCTCCCTGCGTGTCTGCTTATTACTTTTTATCACTATTACTCATTTCCAGGCATGCTGGTCAAAAGTTACTGGGTGAGAGCTGAGACGGCAATCGAGAGCCCTGACTCCGGGCTGAGCTGGCTCTGTATCCTTAGACAAATTACTGATCTCTCTAGGCCTCGGTTGGCTCTTCTAAAATGGGGTGTGCCCATAATGCTTACATCACAGGACTGCAGCAAAGATAATATCACGGGATGCCGTGCGTGTTCCCTGTTGGCTCGCAGGGTGGCTCTTTAATGACCATGATGAGGTGTGAGTCCCCAAGCAGGCTAGGAATTATAAGTGGATGTGAACCCTGATGTTTCCCTGTGCACATATAGTGCGCCCTCTTCCCTTAGCTGGGGAGAGTGAAGACTTTCAAAAGGGACCAAAACGACTACCCCAACCTCTGCCCCCAAGGTTTCGAAAGCCAATTTTACGCAGTGACTGGGCCCAGAGTTGGGGCTGGTATGGAAATCACAGGGCACAGGTGTACATTTGGATTGAACGTGAGAAAGAACTTTCTAAAATGAAATTTCATCTTTTAGAGAAGAAAATATATTCACATCATTCAAAAATCAAAAGGAAACCTTAAGTCCACACAGAAACCTGCACACAGACATTTATAGTAGGTTTATTCATAATTGCCAAAACTTAGAAGCAGTAAAGATGTCCGTTAGTAGGTGAATGGACAAATACACTGTGATCCATCCAGACGATGGATTATTTGTCGGCACTAAAAAGAAATGAGCTATCAAGCCATGAAAAGACACAAAGGAACCTTAAATGCATATTACTAGGTGAAAGAAGCCAATCTGAAAAGGCTAAATAGTATGTGATTATAACTCTAAGACATTCTGGAAAAGGCTAAATTATAAAGACCGTAAAAAGATCGATGGTTGCTAGGGGGTGGGGTGGAGAGGGATGAATGGGCAGAGCACAGAAGTTTTTTTGGGCAGTGAAACTGTATGTTACTTTAATGGTGGACACATGTCATTATAACATTTGTCCAAACTCATAGGATGCACAAAACCTCTAGAATGAACCCTAAGGTGAACTACGGACTCTGAGTGATGATGATGTGTCCATGTAGGTTCATGAATTGTAACACATGTTCCACTCTGGTAGGGGACGTTGGTGGTGGGGAAGCCAAGTGTGTGTGGGGCCAGAGGGTATATGGAAAATCTCAATATCTTCTTCTCAGTTCCTGTGAACCTAAAACAACTCTAACAAAGTCTTTTTTTTAATCAAAAACATTCAAGGAGGGATATACAGACAAATTTTGCTCACACCCATTCTTCTCTATCACATCCCACCTGCCACATTCACTTTTATTAATTTTAATTTAATTTTATTAATTTATTGAGAATTCATGCACTCTTTCTTCATACAAATCCGATCAAATACAAATATGTTCTTTTCCTCCTTTTTTACACAAAATGTATCATACCTTATACACTGTTGCATACAATGTATGGTTTGCTTTTTCTTCTTAAAATATGTCCTGGAGATGTCTCCATGTCAGGGCAGGTTCTTGATTTTATGTGAGTGTGTGGTAGATCCACTGTGCAAATGGACCATTGCTTATTTATATCCTACTGATGTACTCTTTTGCCATTTCCAGGCTTTTATGACTACAAACAATGCTTCCTTGACCAACTTTGGCTGTATTTATGTGAGTTTGGATATGTTTGGGGGTAAAGGAAGGATATAGACCCAGAAGTGGGATTGTTGAGTCATACATTAAATTTGCAATTTTGGTAGATGATGCCAGATTGTCCTGCACAGGGATGGTACCATTTTGCACTCCCAATGAGAATGCTCATTTTGCTACAGGTTTCCCAACTGTTATCAAGGTTTTGGGGTTTTGCTGATCTCTCAGGGAATCCATGGTATCTCTAGCAAGATTTTAATTTCTCTTTCTTTTATGCATGAGGTTGAGCATCTTCTCATTGATATAAAGGTATTTGTATTTCTTTTTCAGTGAACAAAATGTTATGCATTTTGCCCATTTTCCAGTTGAGTGGTTGTTTTTTTACTTCCAGAAGTTGCTGTTATATTAAAAAAGATACGCCCTCTCTCACCAGAGCAGGAGGGAGGAGAGCTGCCCATCAGCAGAAGTGTTGGCAAGGATGCAGTAGGGCCAAGGGCTGGATGGGCAGATGTTGCTAGTAAGAACAGCCTTGTTAATACCACTGCCCATGTGTCAAAGCTAAGCTCAGATCTGACCTTCGCCAAGAAGCTTTCCCGGGTCTGCCCTGTTAGAATTCTCCCCGCCTATCACCAGGGCCCAGCTCCGTGGGCATCAGAGTCTGCCTTATGTTGTTGAGTGGTCATAAGGTGGAAGAGAAAGAGTGTTGGTGGGGGGAGGGGAGCTATGTAATCTACACCCCACCTTAGTCATGTCCCTCCCCAGTCTGGGCTTCTGTGTGCACATCTGGATGATGGAAGAATTAGACCAGATTATTGGCTGGCAGAACACCTGGGAGCCTTTTAACACTACACCTGCCTGGTCCCCACCTCAGACTCGACAGGCTCAGAAGGAGGAGCAGCCTGTGTATTTTGAAGATTTTATTTATTTATTTGACAGAGAGAGAGAGAACCCAGCAGGAGGAGCAGAAGACAGAGACAGAGGGAGAAGCAGACTCCCTGCTGAGCGGGGTGCCCGCCGAGGGTCTCGATCCCAGGACCCTGGGATCATGACCTGAGCCAAAGGCAAACGCTTAACTGACTGAGTCACCAAGGTGCCCCAGCCTGTGTATTTTGATGTGTGTCCTTTGGTTGAGACCAACTGGCGAAAATGATGACCGTCAGGGTCCCTCTGCATCCAGATGCTTGGCCAGGGCATGTCTCCGGTTTGAGCCCAAAACTCCCCGGAGCTTGCTTCTTCTTCCCAGAGGTGGGCATATTCCTCATCAACACGTAGTAGGCACTCAGGAAATGTCGGTGGAATGCAACAAATGAAGTTATCTTCTTAAGTCTCATTTTCTTATTCCTGCTGCCTCTGAAAATACATTGGTGGGAGAGAACAATACTGTAACCTCTAAACTGTGTGGATTTGATCCATTTATAAAACAAAGTTAATCTAACCCGAGTTAATCACCCTGAAACTATTAGCCATTTGGAATCTCTCTCCAATGGGATGAGAGGTCATGTATTTGTAACCTGTGGGTTTTATGAATAATTGTTTCCTCTCCCATGCTGAGTTTGTGTTTTCTTGATGAAAAATCCATGAAATTTTTTTTCCCCACCTGATCCGAGGCTACTCCACATCTGGGGACATCTCAGGGCCGGCTTTAATAACTCTGGCTTCTCTGACCTTTACATCTCTGCTTTCATACTTGTGCCCCTACTAGAAAAATCCAGTAGAAAAATCCAGAGTGTGTGTCCAGCCAATGGCCTCTGGGGGAGCCTGGCCTGTGGGCTCACTGCATTTTCTCATGCTTTCACATTTTAAATGCTCCTAAACAAACAGCCGGCACCACTGGTCATTAGAGGGCCGAGGACACAGAGCAAGTACGCCAGCCCAATTACTGGGGCGCGTCCAGCAGGCTTTCCTCTGCAGGTCAGGGCCCATGGCACTTCAAGTGTAATTGGTGCTCTGGCAGCCTGAGAATTTGTTTCAGGCTTAATTGGCCTGAGGCTGGTACATGGACCCCAGCTTTGTCCCCTAAAGCGATGCACGTGGCACTGTATTCAGGGAGGCGGTGAAGAGCTTCAGCAAGGCCCTTCGCGTGCGGAATAAAGCCTCCGTGCTTGCCACACCGGCGGCAGGTGGCAGAGACAGCCTGCTCCCCACGCAGCTCACCCCGGGCTTGCTGGGGACCGTGGCGGGCGGTGTAAATGAGATGACAAAGAGCGCATTTCTTTTTAATTCTCAGTTCCAGCCAAATGCTTTCCTGTGTGATGTTTTCCTCCCATAAATCAGCCTGGAGAATAAAGAATGTGTACAAACAAACCTCTCTTACCAGTCAGCCTTTATTTGTGCTGCTTTATCGTAAAATAAAGAGCTGCGTTTTTCCCACCCCATGGCCCATGAGTGGGTGTAAGGAGCGCCGGATGGGAAAACAGATGACAGGCTGGAACCCTGGCTCTGCCCTGGTGTACCATGTGACTTCTAGCCTTAGTTTACCCACGGGTAAAATGGGAATAATACTATCTATCCTGTCTATGTCACTGGTAATTATATAAATGGAGTGGGGGCAATCTTTGCAAAGTACCAAGTCATCCAAATGCATAGTGTTATTAATTTTGCTATTTGAACTGGGTGTTTTCTTTCCTTTAGATCTCCTGTGGTGGGCTATTTTTCATCTGTCACAGAAAGTTTCATCAGAGCCTATGTCTCTGGAAGCAGAAGTGAAGCCCACCTTGCTCATCTGTCACCATTTGTCACATCTCCTAAAGAAGATCTCTCTGCAGATCATGTGCCAATTTGTTGGGGGCAACTATCCATCAAGGTGGAACCTCGATTATCCATCTTCAGACTGGCAGGTGCTGCCGACAGAAGGCAGACACTTCCCGGAGGGGTAAGAAATGACAAAAACAGCCCCTCTGAGAGGTAGCCACAGCATGCTGTGGTTCGTGATGCATGCATTCGGGGAAGAAATTCCAAAGAGCCGAGGTGTGTCTCAGACTATTGCCCCCCAACACCCCAACCTTGTTCCGTGTATCTCTTGCCCAAATCTTAACACCCAAGAAGGAAGCCATGACCTCAGGAGACTCTGGTCCTCCCTCCAGATATCTTAAATGTCGACATTATAATTGCTATTCAGTTCACAGAATTGATGGAGAGCTCAGGTGAGGCTTTTGTGACCACTCAGACTTCAAGGAATAAGATGTTCCTTGTGTAGTGAATATTTGAGTGTGCACTCTGCTCTGGAAGGACAATGGTGAACAAGCCAGACAGAGCCTTTCTTCCAGGGATCCAGTAGTCCAGAGGGAGGACAAGATGACAGGTAACAGGCAATCACTGCATAATGTGACATGGAGATGAACAGGGAGTCTTAGGAACATTGGAGGAAGCAACTAATCCAGACGGGGACATTCAGGGAAGCTGATGAAATGTTAACCAGGGCTGGGTGGCAAGGCTGTGGAGGTAGGTGAGGGTTCAAGGCAAAGGACGAGCAGGTGTAAGGCCCAAAGTGAAGGCAAAGTGTGCTGCATTAAGCAGTGCTTCCCAAACTGTGGTCTGGACCAGCACCATGAGCATCACCTAGGAACTTGTTAGAAATACAAATTTGGGGGGCCTTGTGGCAAGCCTACAGAATCTAAAACCCTGTGGGCAGGGCCCAGGAGTCTGTGTAAATAAGCCCTTGGATGATTCTGATGCACATCGTACTCTGAGAACCAATGTGTTAGAAGAATAGGAAAGCATTTAGCCTGGAGGTCAGCCCAACTGAGCATCCTTCTTTCTAGAAGAAACATTACCACTATCTTTGCCACTGTGATGGGGCTCCTCCTTGCACCCCACACTCCCATAGAGTCTCAAGCTGCTGCCCTTCCCTGCCATGGTTAACCTATGGCCTTTTATTCTCCGCTCTTGATGGGGTGGTACTCAACCTTCTCACCTCCACATTCCTCATACCCCAAAGAACTGCAGAGGGAAATAGACACATCCACAATTATATTCAGAGATTTCATCAGCCCTCTCTCAATAACTGAAAGGAAAAGAGAAAAAGAAAGTCAATATGGATATAAAAGACTCAACCTAACTGGCATTTGTAGAACATTCTACCTCAAAATAGAAAAATACACACTCTTTTCAAGTATGCATGGAAAATTACCAAGATAGATTATATTTTGGTTATGAATAGTCTCAATAAATGTAAAAGGATTCAAGACACACAAAGTATTTCTATGACCACAGTGGAATTAAGTTAGAAATCAATTACAGAAAGATATCTGGAAAATGCCCAAATTATGAAAACTAAATAATACACATCTACATATCATATGGTCAAAGAAAAGATCAAAAGGGTAATTAGAAAATATTTTGAACTGAATGAGAAAGAAAACACAATGTATCAAAATTTGTGGAATGCAGCTAACACAGTATAAATAGGGATATTTTTAGCACTAAACACCATATACAAAAAGAAGAAAGCCTAAATTAAATGAGCTGTTTCCAACTTAAGAAAAGGAAAGCAACCAACCAAAAATAAGCAAAAGGAATAAAATAATAAAGATCAGAATGGGAATAAATGAAGTAGGAAACAAATAATAAAGACAATGAAACCAAAATGTAGTTCTCTAAGAACATCAGTAAAATCAATAAACCTTTAGTTAGACTAATCAGGAAGAGAGAGAAAGACACACACACACGCACACACACACACACACCCCCAATATCAGGAGTGAGAGAGAGGACTTTATCACATACCTGTGATTCTATAGATATCACAACAAAAATTATGGTACACCATGAAAAATTTATGCCAACAAATGTAACATCTTGGACGAAAAAACAAATTCCATGCAAGATGAAAGCTATTAAAGCTCACTCAAGAAGAAATAGGTGAATGGATAAAGAAGATGTGGTGTATATATACAATGGAATATTACTCAGCCATCAAAAAAATGAAATCTTACCATTTGCAACAACATGGATGGAACTAGAGGGTAGTATGCTAAGCAAAATAAGTCAATCAGAGAAAGACAATTATATGATCTCAATCATATGTGGGATTTAAGAAATAAAACAGAGGATCATAGGAGAAGGGAGGGAAAAATAAAAAAAGGTGAAATCAGAGGGGGAGAAAAACCATAAGAGACTCCTAACTATTGGAAACAAACAGGGTTGCTGGAGGGGAGGCGGGTGGAGGGGTGGAGTAACTGGGTGATGGGCATTAAGGAGGGCACATGATGTAATGAGTACTGGGTGTTATATGCAACTGGTGAATCCCTAAATTCTACCTCTGAAATTAAAAATACACCATATATATTAATTGAATAATTAATAAAATAATAAAACTGATATAATACACTATATATTAATTAATTGAATTTCAATAAAATAAAAATAAATAAAATAAAATTTCTTAAAAAAGGAGAAATAAGTAGCCTGAATAACCCTATAGCTTTAAATTGAGTTTATTTAAATTTTAAATTAACCTAAAACCTTTCCTTAAAAAACAAGCAAACAAACAAACAAATAATAAAACTCCAGACCCAGATGGCTTCATAGGTGAATTATACCCAAACATTTAAGGAACAAATGATATCAATTCTACCCAAACTCTTTCAGACAATAGAAGAGGAAGGAATATTTCCCATATCGTTCTAGACTGGGATTACTTCGATACTGAATCTAGACAAAGACATTGCAGTGAAACTACAGACCAATATCCCTCATGAACACATATGTAAAAATTCTTAACAAAATTTTAGCATATAGAATTAAACAATGTATCAAAAGAACCATGCATCATAACAAGTGGGGCTTATACTAGGAATACAAGATTGGTTTACCATTTGAAAATCAATCAGTTTAATTCATATAAACAAACTAAAAAAAAAAAAAAGCACAGGTATATAATCTTCTCAATAGATGAAAAAAAATTTGACAAAGTCCAGTATTTATTCTTCATAAAAGATATAAGCAAACTCGGAAGAGAAAGGCATCTATAGAAAACATAAAGTTAACATCATACTAAATGGTGGCTGACTGATTGGTTTGTGCTTAACATCTGGACAAGGCAAAGATGTCTCCTTTCATCACAACTATTCAATACTGGGAGATCCTAGCCAGTGCAATAATGCAAGAAAAAGCTATCCAGATTAGACATAAAGAAGTTGAACTCTATTTACAGCCAGCATGATTGTCTGCAAAAGACATCTACCCAAACAAAAACCTACAAGAATAAGTGAGTATAGTAAGGTTGCAGGAGGCAACATCAATATAAAAAGTCAATTATATTTTTAATTACTAGAAGCAAACAATTGAGAATTAAAACAAAAATACCATTTATGATGACATCAAAAATATGAAACTTAGGGATTAATCTAACAAAGAGATGTGCAAGACATGTGAAATCCTAAAGAAATCCTAAATAAATGGAAAGAGATATTTTGTTAAAAGATAAGAAAATTCAATATTGTTAAAATGTCAATTATCCCCAAATTAAAATATGGATTCAATATGATGTGGAATACACATACAATAGATTATTATGCAGCCTTAGAAAGGAAGGGAATTCTGACACCTCTTACAATGTGGATGAGCCTCAAGGACATTATGCCAAATGGAATAAGCCAGTCATTAAAGGACAAATGCTGTGTGATTCCATTTACATGAGGTCCCTAGAATGGGAACAGATTAAAGTGGAACGGTGGTTGCCAGGATCTGGGGGAGGTGGAAGATGGGAAGTTACTATTGAATAGATACAGCAATTCAGTTTTATAAGATGAAAAAGTTCTGGATATGCATCGAGGTGATATTTGCACAACACTGTGAATGTACATAATCCCACTAAACAGTAAACATAAAAATGGTTAAAATAGTAAACTTAATGTGAGATCATAATTTTTAAAAATGGCACAAGAAAACTTTTGGAGGTGATACGTATGTTCATTATCTTGATTATGGTGATGGTTTCACGGGTGTATACAAATGTCATAACATCAGATTTTACACTTTAAACATGGACAATTTGTTTTATGTCAATTATACCTTGATAAAGCTGTTTAGAACATTTAACCAAGGGAATTGAATGGTATAAAGACTGGGATTCTTGTGAAGTCTGCCTGGATGCTTTTTAAGTGTTTGAATATGTTATCTTTTTTAAAAAATTAATTCATTAACTTTTTTGGGGGAGAGAGGGAATGTATTGGGGGGTAGAGGCAGAGAGAGAGGGAAAGAGAATCTCAAGCAGACTCCCCTCTGAGCACAGAGCCTGATTCAAGGCTTGATCTTAAGACCCTGAGATCATGACCTGAGCTGAAATCAAGAATCGGATGCTTAATCTACTGAGCAACCCAGGCGCCCCGGAAACATTATCTTAAAGTTCACCTAGAAGAGTAAAGAGATAGGCATAACCCTTCCTACCTTGTTTCTACTGCCTTGTATTCCTGTCTTCCCCTTTCCTACAAAAATAAGCCCAACACCTTTATCAAGGAGCATATTAGACATTCATTTGTTTGTCTTTCTCCTACATTTGAGATCCTGCCACAGGCCATGCACCAATCATGTCAGGTGGTGGAAGAGCACCCAGTCTGGGGCATCTGGTTCCCAGTCCATGGGAGGACAATTGGTAAGCCGTCATGCAAGGGATATACAAGGAAACGGGGAGAACTTTCAGGCCATGTACGACTGTTTGTGGTGATATTTTAGTTGAAGCTTGAGACATGTATACACGTTAAAGGGTAAGAGGTGAGGGAAGGGCTTTCCAGAGACATGGATGTAAGCATGAAGGTGGGACAACACAAAGGGGTTTGTGGAGAGGCTCTCTGTTGCTTTTCTCGGGTTGCATGACAAAGTGCCACACGTGGATTGGCTTAAACCAGAAATTTAAACTAGAACACAAGCCTCACAGTTCTGGGAGCTAGAAGGCTGAAATCAAGGTATCAGCAAGGTTGTACGCCCTTTGAAGTCTCCAGGGAATGTTCCTTCCTTGCCCAGTTGAGCTTCTGGTGGTTGCCAGAAATCCTTGGTGTTCCTTGGCTTGGGACAGCACAGCTCTGGTTTCTGGCCCCATCTTCACATGACTGTCTTTCCTTGGTATGTATCTTGTGTCTCACCATGGCCTTCTTATAAGGACACCAGTCATTGGATTGGGACCCACTCTAATCCAGTATGACTTCATCTTAACTAATTATATCTACAAAGACCCTATTTCCAAATAAGGTCACATTCTGAGGTTCTGGTAGAAACAGACCTTGGAGGAACATTATTCCACCGAGTCCAGGCTCTGTGAAGGATGCATCAGAAAAATGGGAGTATAGTCAACATAGCTGGAATTTTAATTTAGTGTTAGATCATGCAGATCCATGAACAAAGTTTGGAATATTCTAAAGGCAATGGGTTACCTTTTCATGTTTCTGAACAGGGGACAGAAGGGGTCAGATCATTGCCTTTAGAAACTATGTGGTATCCACATAGTAGATAATTTCAGAGGAAAGAGACTGCACAAAGCACCCCTAATCTGGGGCTTTATAATTGTCCTCCTTACATGCAAGGAGGCAGAGCCCACAGGTAGGGGCTGGAGCATGACAGGATTATGAGGAAGGGTGCTGGTGGGATACCTGGCTAGATGTGGGAGAGTAAAGGAAAAAAGAATTGAAGGTGAACCCCGGGTTTCCAGCGTGAAAGAAGGAAACTTTTACTGAAGGAATTACAGAACCCTACGAAGGAGTAGTGATGACATTAATCAACAGAGATGGCAGACAGAAGGAGCAGCTAGCTATTTTAGGGCTGTAGCCTCAGGGTGGCAGTCCAATTTGGTTGCAAAAATTGAATCCAACCATGAGTCTTGTGGAACAAATTTAGATAAACAGTTTTGGAAATGTTGGGGACAATGGTACTCCTGAATGCCAGTCATGGCTTTTCTGTGGCACCAAGCCGGGATTCCCTCAAGCAGCTGGAAAGAGGGGGCTGGAGCTCAGGAGAGACACTAAAACTGCAAATGAGTATTTGGGAATCAGTTCTGTAACAGGGATAACT